TTACTGATTTTTTTAAAATGCAATCTACTGTTACGATTGACTCAATGTAATTTTAAAAAAGCTTTAATGTTTTTATTAAAAATATTTCTTTTCTATAGTTTGGTTTGTAAGGGTTAGTTATGTTTTTACGAGTTGATCACAGATTGATATCAGTTACAGAACCACTGAAAACCCAACCATTGTCACGCTAAACCACGAATTGGCAGAAGTTAGAATTCATGAGCCATTGAATCGGGTCCCAGTGGCTGAATGGTATACGAGCTTGACTTGTAACCGGAAGGTCCTGGCTTCGAATCCTGGCAGTGGGTGCGTACTGCCGATGATTCCCAAACTAGGATGAAACAGCAGCTGTCCAGTACTCCCTGGTTTTCAATGGTTCTCTAACTGATATCAATCCATGATCAATTCGTAAAAATATTTCTTTTAGTAATACTGCTATGTTAATGTAGAACTTGAAGAAGAGGAAGTTATCAAAAAGGATATTCTTTGTTCGTTAATCAGTTTTTTTTAATCAGGATCATAGTGAAAATTCCCATTTCTACATTTATAAGACAAGAAAGAGTAGTAGATTGAACAGAGAATATTCTTTTTGGGCAACCGTCTCATCTGTCTCCACAGCTGCATATTTAACAAGTAATCGTTATTGACAATATTTGTGTTTTTCAAATAATATCAGAGTATACAGAAGTCCGCCTAAATCAGTTTGGGCTAACTCAATTTTCTGTCCATTAAAATGCGTCGTGTTTACACCGTTTTAAATTGTTCTAATGATCTAATTGCTACAGTGAGGCACAGCCTATGCTGACGCACAATTTCAAATAAGTTTCTACCTAAAGCGGGGAATTTTTGAAGGAAATGCAGGAAGAATATTGTAGGGAAGTACTGGAGCAAGCTTTGATTGAAATAATATTTTTTCAGATGATATATCAACGATTGTCGATGGCACCCTGTAGTAGCCAAGTAGTTGCCAAATGACCACTCATCCAACAGTTATAAGACAATGCTGCATACCAAGTAATCCACAACGGAAAACTTACGGAAGCCTTCGAAGTGAGGACAGGAGTGAGGCAAGGCTGTCTACTATCGCTAATGATCTTCCTGATTGCAGTAGACTGGATAATGCGACAGACAACGGACAATCAGGAAACAGGCATAAAATGGACTCACACAATATAGAACTTGGAGGATCTGGACTTCGCCAATAATGATATATGTTTGATTTCCCACAAACTGGAAGATATGCAAGTGAAAAGCAACAAGCTGGCGATAGAAGAAGCCTCAAAGATAGGACCTCACTTCAGGTGAACATAGATAAAACAGAGGTAGGTGATGAAGATTCCTGGCCAACACCAACACCAACAGCAACAACCACAGACAACAATCAGCCGGTATAAATTGGAGGAACCTGAAAGAAACAACCTCCTTCACCTACCTACCTATCTGGGAAGCATCGTTTCAACTACAGGCGAAACTGACAAGGATATCAAAGTGAACAGGTCGGGAAAGCGAGACAAGCTTTCATCACTCTCAAATCTGTGTGGAGGTCAACATCACTCACCATCAAAAATAACATCCGGATTTTCAACTCCAATGTGAAGTCAGTCAGTGCTACTATAGGGATCAGAGACTTGGCCAGCGCGTCATAAAGAGCATCTCAAACAATCTTCAGACCTTCATTAACAGTTGTCTTCGCTCAATACTCAAGATCAGATGGTCGGCCAGAAAAGATCAGAAACAGGGAGGGATCTCTGGCAATGAGGGAACCAACTCAGTAGGAACCGATTGTGAAACAAATAGGCAGGAAGAAATGGAGATGGATTGGCTGGCCATACTCTGAGAAAACAATCCATCAAGTGACATCACTAGACAAGCCGTTGCTCGAGTGGAACCCGAAAGGGTAGCGGGCGGCGAGTTGGTTGTCAGTGTGAGGGTGACTTGGAGGAGGTCATGTGAAGAGGAGATGAAAGCATGTGGGCAGACTTGTAGCGGGGTGAAAACTTTGGTAGAAAACAGAAGGCAATGGAGGTGCGCAGCTGAAGCCCTATGATCCTCTAGGAATTAAAGGATATAATAATATTAATAATATTGCAAAGTATGCATAACATGCTTCAAAAATATTGTATTTTATCAAGCTTATGGGTGCAGTAGTAGCCAGTATACAAAGGATATTCATAAGGACAGACGTATTTCGAGATTGACAGTGAAGTGATTTCATTGAAAGTACAACTGAAAACCAGGAAGTGATGAACGGCCGTGAGACGTCACGACCATTGGCGTCCAGTAAGTTGGGTGTGAGGACAAATAGTTGCTGATGACAGTGGCTGGAGGCAGTGCTGTGTCACGACTTGGTAGGACATTATAACCTGAGGCGCTGGCGATTGGATTCCGTTCGAGAAGCTCAGTGGTGAGCAAAGTTACTTTATAACCTAAAGGTCCTCGGACAGATCGCTGGTGGAATAGTTATGAGTTCTGTCTACTGATGAACAAACACTCCAAAACAAGGCCGAAACAACTATCCAGTGTTCCCTGGTTTTCAGAGATCTATAACGGTTGTTGGTTCCTGACAAAATCAGCAGTGAAAAGTATTTCTGAAAAATGATTCATAAGGGGATGATGGATGAGGTGTATGGCTTCAGTGATGTACCCTATGATCTTAAATATCCATCTATAATCACCGAAGTCAGTGGTAAAAAACACCTGAGAAAAAAGCTGATTTGTTTAAGAGAATATGAAGTAGACCTCTTTCCTTAAACAGTAATTTTTTTTTAAAATATTCCCTGTGAAAATCCATATCACTCTTGAAAAAAAAACAATTAAGAAATGTTGAAGAAATTGAAAAGTCGATTCATCTTGCAAAATGTAAAATTTATATAATATCTATGATAAGTTTGTGATTTGTGGAATACATAAACTAGTCGCAATTATACTTCAATTGTTGCTTATGCATAAAGTTAAGTTTTTGATTTTGGTGAAATTTGGAGTAAAATTACTGCCCATGATCACACCAATTGTTGGAATATAATTCTACATTACAAAACAACTGAACCAACACAAAATAAGTAGACTATACTTATAATGTATTGAGCACACACTAAGTTAACTGTTGATGAAAACTACGCACCATATAGATCGTCAAATGAAGTCCAAAGGGAAAACTGCAGCGGGTTGAACGTCCCACTACAACATGGAGCAGATCGTATGAAGAGGAGGAGGAGGTTAGGGCTTATGGGTAGTAGTTAAGCCAGCGTTAGAGGACTGCAGAGAAGGGGATGAAATATTGTAAGTACTTTGTTGAATCTCCACGTTCTACTCAGAACCCAAGAGAATAATAATAATATACGAATACAAATAATGTGTGAACTAAAAACAACTCAACGATGGTTGTGGTCACATGTGGTAATTTTGCTCCAAATATTACCAAAATCAAAACCTTATCGTGCAGTTTAGTATGATAATAATTAATTTGGAAGTTGTACGTATTTCTGATTCTTACATTTATTTATTAAAGATATTTATTTTAGGTTGTGAAGAAGTATAGTTTCACTCTTTTAAATTTGATTGAACCTTAAAATATGACAAAGCATAGGTATACTAAAGAAAGGTGATACTTCATTTACTGCAAATAGACTGTTCACTGTCATTAGCGCTTTACAGGGTTGATCTAGCATATGATCCAATATAGAGACTATGAACAGTTCAATCTTGACTAGCTTCATCACTTTCTTAAATTATTTTTCAAATCGAAACAATAATCACGGATAGGCAGAAGTTAGAACTGATGGGTCGGCTGCTAAATTCTATCCCGGTGACTGAATAATTAATATACGAACCCACCTGATAACCTTGAAGTCTTGGATTCAATCTTTGGTGTGGTGGGGGTCATGACTGTATACTTCTGTGGATTTTCAAACAAGAACGAAACAGTTCTCTGACACATGCTGGTTTTTAATGTTCATCTAAATGAAGTCAGTTTTTGATCAGTTCTTGAAATAATTACAATTGGAAGTGTTTTCCACCTTAATCACGTACAAAAATTATAATGTCCACCTTGGTTTTCTTGTTAGCTTTTCTGACTCTTTTCAGTATGATGTATACACCCAATGTATATGTCCAAACAAAGTTCACTTCTAACAGTTCTAAAGAATTTGGGTATTGGATAGATGGTATTCATTAAAATGAAGGCTTCTTTGTATTTCCGAATGAAGCAAAAAACACAACAATGCCGTTTTCACTGCTATTGCACTATTTATCGCTTCTAATTTTTATTAAAGCTGGCGAAAAATCAAGCTCAGAAGAATTAAACACCAGTGAGACTAAATTCAACCACTGAGAAATCCTATAGCACTAGAAAAGGTTTAAAAAAACATCAGCCATACGTCTACACGCCCTATAGAATCAGGTCAAAGAATTGAATGTATTGAAAATATTCAAATCATCATTCAGGAAAATACTTTCGAAAATCACACAGAACATCTCATGCTAGAATCCATATTGTCTGAATAGGAATAAGATGGATTAAGATAGAATTTGTTCTGGTGCCAACACCCTATTTTCCTTCCTTTCATGAGGTAACAAAACCAAAACAACTGACACAAAAGCAGTTTCATTATGTGCAATCAAAGTCTGTTTTGATAATTCGATACGTTTATCAAATCCAACAGTCCTCGTACATGGTCTGTTATCTTTATCACCAACTTCACCAACTTGACAACGTGGAGAGGAATTACTTCATTACTCCGAAGAACTATGATTATATATAAGAGTATGTGTAACGTGAGATTTTGTAAATCCCGGCTTAATAATATTCCTTTGATAAAGAAGCTCTTAGCAGTATAAAAATAGTGTACTGTCAGTAAAAACACAATTTCGATTTTTTTTTAATTTTAATTCATCAGGAAATAATCCAAAAACCTGAAGAGTAAATATTTTTGTTTTCTAAAGTATACTTCAAAATAATTCAACCAAATAATAAGAAGGAGAAACTGACGGTTAACACTTACCTGTATCCAACAATGTACCCAATAATACAAAGCCCCAAATAGTGATCATATTGAACACTTGAATATTTTTGATGACCATTTAGATTTTCATTACCAAAACCACGAAGTTATATAGTCTATGGTTGTATTTTAACCTTTTTTGTTGTTGTTGTTGTTAACACAAATAATTTGAACTCCTCTGTCTTCTTAACGTTCAGGTATCTCACTAGTAATTCAATTCAGTTGACAATGACTCTTGATAATAATCAATAATTCATTTAAATTATGTATTACTGTCGTGGTGAAACAATTAGATAGGAGTTTTATATGTTTACAGATGACAATATCAGTTAAGGAACTTTGAGAGAATCACTGTTATAAGTTTAATATAATTTATACCAACTCATTTCAAGGTTAATATTTTATACATATATATTTTTTTATTTAACAAGGTAACTAATCTTAATTTCACTAGTTTATAAGCCCTCACAGAACTTGCGACACGTCCTCATCATAAACATGATGAAACAATTAATTATTCAAGTATTCAAGGCCACACCCCTCGTGAGTTGTACATGTGGGTGTTTGTCTCACCATCGGATCTGTATGTCTCTCTATCTATCCATCTATCTGCCCGACTTAGTTACAACGTGTTTATCGTATATCTTATAATTACCTTTTATTGTTTTTCTCACTGCATTCTACCACTAGCCAGTAAAAAAGATGAATGCATTTGACATACAGAAATGGCAGTTGACTCTGAATACAAGGAAAGTTATCTGTGAATACTGTGCTGGGACTCTGTGCATGTTTATAATTACTTATTATTATTCTCTTCGGTTCCCGGTGGAACACAAGGTTTCAACAACACGTCTCCATTTCTGCAGTCATCCTTAGCTGGCACCATAACTACCCATAAGCTCTCATCTCCTGTAGTTATCCGCACCGCACTTGCCGTTTACCATTCGGCTTCCGTTCGAGGGTGTGTCTGGCGTGTGATTACACTCAGTGGTAGGTATCCTTAGCCTGTATCAGACCCATCTGTATTTCCTTCTGCATATTTGTTGGGTCAGTTACATGTTGCTGGTTGGTTTGTTATCAGAGTCCTGTGTTGCTAATCCATTCTGACCGTTTCACCTGCAGCATCGAGGGAGGAGAGCAACTACTAACTAGTTGGAAGTGCTTTTCATGAGAGAAACAACACATGAAATAAAGTTTCAATATCCCCCCCTCCAAGTATTACATATCCTATGGATATATTGATTCTCAAAAGAAAGGGAGAAGCCAGTGAAAAGTACTGCTATCTGATGAAAGTGGAATCTTACAGAAACAAATGTCGGCAAAGAAGACTGTTTTGTTTGGAAATTTACACCGAAGACACACATATGTTGCATAGGTGTCTGAGAATTAGTTTGGCATCAGATAGCTTTCATCGTTGATGCTTTCGGGAATAATAATGGCCTATACAGAGTAAGTTAAAACTCTACGACGTACTAAACAGCTATCTTAGAATTACTTTTGATGTATAACTTTAGAGAAATCAACTGATTGCATCACTTTCAAATTTTAGTTGAGTGAATACGTGTTCCTTTTGGGTTTTTTTTAGGTGGCATTGAAACTTAAACTTACTTTACATCTGTCTATCAAAAAATGAGCTTCGTTGCTCATTGTGACAGGACATCAGTTTCCTAATAATGCGCTTTGTCAATACACTGGACAAGTTATTACAAGAGACATAATAAGATTTCTTATTCTTCTTACAAACGTAATTATAAATATTCAAGTGTTGGTTTGCAAGGAGTTGACTGGCTATAGGATTTAATCATGCGCTAACATCGGTCAGAGAACCACTGAGAAAAAACCTGAGAGTACTAGATACCGATTCGGTTCTAGTTCGGGACTCTTAACCAGTACGCAACGACATTGATTCGAACCCAGGATTGTTCCACCTTCTTTTTTTGTGCAAATCAGTTTTACGATCCATCTGTTTCCGAGGACTAGGAGTCAATGGAGATGATGACAGAGTTAGATCCAGAATAGAACTAATCAGTGAACGCATTATCAACTACTATAGTACTTTATTTAACTTATATATTATTAACCAACAGAGAATCACAAGCGACAATCGCTATTCTGGTGGACGAAGCTATATAGTCACACTGGGAATACGTAGTATCACAGTAAGCCAAAATTATTAGAACCTTCGATAACTTTAAGGTGGGGTTTAGTCCGACTCAGTAATATAGTTTGAGGAACCATAAAGCCCACACAATAGTGATGCTTTCCTACTAGGTAACTTATATAGTTGATTACAATGAATCAAAATACTGTCTCATCATAACCACTCCAATTTCACTTTTGAGAAAAAAGGATAAACTACCTAATTTCTCCTCATCTATTTGGACAGACCATTCTAACCGCTTCTATTGAGCCAGTTACATTGGGCATATAATTCAATCCATATCCATTGTTGGATTTATACACATCGTCCTACTTGGTTAAGTAAGAGACGAACTTGGTCTGTACGCAGCTCTGTTTCATCCAACCATGCAGATATTGAACACAAGGTCGATGTTAACAATGCGTTTAAAACTATCCATTGTATTCCGACTAATCCAAACTACGCCTTATGGATTATTCGCCTTTTAGATACAGCTGAAGCCGTCAGAATCCATCTGAAGAAGCTTAACTCCTGTGCTTAGAAGAAGTTCGTCCAGAAGTTTTCCTTTATTTCACTATAATTTCTTGGCTGTAATAATCCTGTAATGTTTTCTTCTCTTTAAACCTGTTGCAAGCTACTATTATTTTAACTGTCTTCAAATGTTGCGTTAAACTCCTGCCTAATTTTGTCTTATTATATTCAATTTAGGGTGACTATGAACTATAACAATCCAAAACGAAACTACCTAATAAAGACCTTGACAAATCTGTGTCGACTAATCAGACGAGTCCGAAGCAGAAGTGCGTAATTAGAAAAAAAAAAGTTCATTTACAAATAATCCAACGTTGAAAAGTAGTTACATAGAATAACTTCCTTGTATGTATGTTCCGAGAAAAGCTTCCAATTTCCCATAGGGGTCCTCATAATTAGGTTAAGCTAATTTTAGTGTGTAAATTCGAAAACATAACTGTATGTCACCGTGTTTCTTGAGTGATTCACCGCTCTGACCCTCTTTTTAGGTGAATCTAGAAACTTGCGATATAATTTGTGTAGGTCCTACCGAAAGGAGTAACGAAATCGTCCTTTTTATTGGTCAAGTTTTGAATATAGCCCACAGATGACAGTAAGCTACACGTTTTCTCCCTTTCGATGATCCTGTGGTCTTAGCAGTATTCAAATAGTAGATATGGATGAAATTTGGTGTATAATTCTTGAAAAGCAACCATAACTCCGCCTATACACTACGGACTCATCTGACTGGTTTCCCATTGTCATTAATCCATTCACTAGCTGCTATAGCTTTCAGTCACCCAATGTAGTATTGTATTTTTATGCATGCATCACACTTACACGGGCGCTTTTGAGCTGTAATTCGGTTAATCTTTTTAACAGCTGGATATTATTTTTTTAAATCAACATTTCTAAAACATATATTCTTTAAATAGTATATATATATATATATAACGGCATAGCTAGATGGGGAAGTTATTGAAAATGATATTTCGGGATTTCATCATAAGCTGGCATTAGTTAGAGAACCATCGGAAAACCTGGGAGTACTGGACAGCTGTTTTGTCCTAAATTGGGACTCTTCAGCAGTACGCACCCACCGCCATGGTTCAAACCCAGGACCTTCTGGTTACAAGGTGAGCTCGTATACCATTAAGCCACCGGGATCCGATCCAATGGACCATGAAATCTAACTTCTGCCAATTAATGACATAGCATGACAGCTAGCCAATGTCTTCGGTGGCGAGTATTTGTCCTCACACCCGAATCCCGGTGGGTGCGTACTGCTGAAGAGTCCCAAACTAGGACGAAACAGCTGTCCAGTACTCCCAGGTTTTCTGATGGTTCCCTAACTAATGCCAGCTCATGATGAAATCCTGAAACCTATCAAATCCCTACAAACCAACACTTGGAAACCATATTCTTGGCTAAATCTTCTTTTTCTTTCTCTTCGAAAATCGAGATTAGTAAATTTCCAAGTGTTAGTTTTAAGAGATTTTTCGGCTTTCCAGTTTGACAACGTGTTGATATCCGTTGGAGAACTTGCTAGGCGACATTTGAAAATTGATCTGATCCTGACAAGTGACTAACTACACAATGAAGTTGACTGAAGTTCGGTTAGGAAGTCCTGGTCGGTGGAGTTCACAACAAGGTTGATACATACAACTAACACGTTAAAACAATTTTTCTAAAAATCTTTGCAAAGCTGCTTAAAACAAGACTAATCTCCAATACGGACAATAAAATCATTTCGGAAGTTCAAAGCATCCCTCAATTAGATCAGAATTAACAGGATAGACTTTAAATTATAATCTTTTCAACAAGAAGATTCCGCATCACAAAATGTAACCAACACGGGAAAGAAGTTGAGTTAATACTTGTTCCACTTGTCATTCTAAATCAATTGTCTTTACAACGATAAATTCTATGCTATTAAATTTCACACAATATTACGTAACGTTTTTGTTTTATTCGATTTGTCTACTAATCCTATAATTGCACATCCTTTTTCAATTTCTATCCCTCCTATGAATTATTCTATATATGACATTAATCTGCTTTGCCACTTGACATTTAACTACGATTATAATCACAAACATTTTAGTTTTAATTGAAATTCATATGGTTATTATTATTATTTTATGCATTCACACCTAAGATTCAATTCCCTCACCGGATATAACTTCTGAAAAACCATATATATATACGACTGTACAGCTTGATGATAAATTCGTTGAAAAGAGTCTCTTCGCTGAATCACTTGTTTTGATTTTCTATATGTTACAATGGGAATTTTCCATGAGTTAAAAAATACTCATTCTGCCATCGGATGAATGTTGTAAAATTTGAGGAAATTGACGGTGAGGAATTCAATCAAAACTTTCTTTCTTTAAAAGTGA